TGGACAGGTGCGCTCCAAGGCCAGTGAGATTCTTTAATGACATTATTTTGGAGGAGCTTCTCAACTTGTTTCTGTATTTCTTCATTTATTACATATCTGTATGGCCTAACGTATATGGGGTCTTCATTTTTAGTACGGATTTTGTGTTTTACACTGTTAGTGAATGAGAGCGGAATATCGTCGCAATAGTATATGTCCCGATAGTCATAGCACAGGTTTTTGATACATTCGCGGTCTTCCTCATTTACATGATCCAGACGTAATTTCGACAAATTTTGTTTTAACAGCTCATCTATCTCGTAATTATCTCTCATGAAGTTCGCTTTACATTCTTCAGCTATATACTTGGTTACTTTTAGGGGCTTAGGGAACTTTATGGTAAGCCTATCGTCGGAAGCATTTCGTTTGCGCTTGGCATCCTAACACCTTGTCCAAAATTGACATAATCTATTATCGCATTTTCATTTTGCATATCCGTTGGGACCCTGACTCGCGTTTCCGTTCTTGGTTCCAACGTAATTTCGTATTTTTGTGGGACGTGTGTGCAACATTTGGTTCTTCATATCTATTGAAGTGACAAGTTGTTTTAAAAGATCTGAACCTATCTAAACGTCATATCTACTATCTACGTTGTATACATAGAATTTATGTTTTTTCAAAATTTAAATGTTTTAAAGAGCGGGATATATATAGCTTCGTTATGTTGCTTGTACTTATAACTTCGAAAGGTTCATATAATTTGAAAGCGGAGAAATATTTTTCTGCCTTAGCCGGACTTATAAAAGATCTCGTGCTTCCGGTGTCTATCATAAAACGAGCCTGAATTTCCGGTATTTCGATGTGTGGGAGTTTCAAAATCGTATCACAATTTATTTGTATTATTTCGGGGGTGAATCGGAGGCTTCTATCTGAAAATGTTCAGTATCATTCGAAATTATATCAAGGTTCTAACTTACTTCTTCTAATTGATAGAATCAGGCGTTACTTTGCGGAAATCCATTATAATAAAAATATAAATTAGTCAGATGATGCACTTAGCGGTCAGCCGCCGTAGAGTCTACATCACCTGAGGATGCCTCGTGTAGAGGCGAAACACGTGTCGTATTATCGTCGATGGTGTGTCTTACCTGGAATAGTGGTGTTGGAATTAGTGGTACCGGGAGTAGTGGTGTTGGGAGTAGTGGTGCTGGGACTAGTGGTGACGGAGTTAGTGCATGCAATTGAGGGAGGGCGGAAGGTGCTCTTCAATCCAGGTAAGACGCATCATTGTATTTGGTTAGCGGAAGGTTGCGAAGTAATTTATATTTTTATTACTTCTTCTATTTCACTATACGGTTCTACTTCGAATTGAGGCACTTCTAAATTATATACGTAATTATTTTCGTCGCAGTAATTTATATCATGATATTCACCCCAGACCGGTAGCTCAATGGTTAATATATAACAGAATATAACTCGGTCCCCCGGCACCAATGCAATTTAAGCTTTTACCATTCCTAAGTCGTAGAAATGCAGAATAAAAAAAATATTTCGATGACATTAATTCTCTCTCAAATACCTGTCCCAAGTGAGTATATAGGCTGTAACTTTAAACTTTAAACTTTTTATAAAATTTCACGGGTATTTCGGGTTCGTTATTGTAGAATATCTCGTTATCTTGGGGAACCCTGGAGTCATCTAGCATATTTTGTCTTAGTGGACGTGTGGTACGCATGGAGACATCGGTATTTTCATTTAAATTTTGTTTCTGGAAATTCTGATTGGGTATACCAAATTTAAAATTATTTTGGGGTTGATTTCGCAATGAAGTGGCATGGGATGCCGCCGCAAAACGTCGAAGGAAGTCTTAAAAAGTGCAATTGTTTTTTTTTTTTAATAAACTATTGTAATAATCCCTAACCTTGTCAAGTACATGTGTGCAATTAATCTCTGTGTTCGTAATATTTTAATCAAAATTATACAGCAACGGTTAAAATTTCTATTTTTTTTTGTTGGGATTTTTGAGGATATGAGGCGGTATTGCAATTACCAACACTAATTTCATTGAGTAGATGTAATTTGACATCCTGGATAAATTTGTCACTTTCAAAGTACATTTGCAATCGTTTTATAAATTTCTTTGCTATGTACCACAGATGAATGTGTTAACGAACAACTGGATGTATTTTTGAAAGCATTCCAAAAACGTTAAGATTGGAAGTTTGTCTTTAACTTCATTTTAAATTATTTTATACCAAGATTACAAATGAATCTTGTAATCCTGTAAGGTACCACTTTTATTTCAGCGTTGACCTTTCAAACAATATGTACATATTTTTATATGCAATGTCTACTATCTTGAGCCAGTTTTTATCATGTATGTATGTATAAAAGAATGTATATAACCGAGGGAGAAAATCGGAAGAAAAAATAATATATACGAATTCCGATTATTCACCCCGTCTGGAGTAGATAGATGAACACATGTTTTTTTTGAGTATCCACCTTAGGGTGGATAAACGAAATAATCAGACCGCAGAATTCTATATCTTAGAATAAAGACGATATCTTCGACGGGCTCAAAACGACGTTTATTTGTTACCTTGACATCAAGGACACTTGGACCTAAGTGAAAATTAGTTTTCTCAAGTCTGCACTCGAGCCTAGTTAATCAAAGTAAATCAAAGTTTTGCTCTTAAGGACTTCACCGGAACACCTTAGCACCATAAGATCCGAGCGATGGTCTGAGCTCAAGTTATGTAGCACTCCTATGGAGAGCAGCGGTAAGGCTACTATATATTTGATGATCTATTTTGCTTGATTCATGGTTCAGATTATCAGGGATGTTAGTGTCTTCTAAATGGGTCATAATACCAAAATGAATTCTCGCTAAGAGCACAGAGTTAATAATAACAAAATAATATAAAGTTTATTCATTCCTCTCACAAATAAACAGTAAATATATGTTTACTATCAGTTACTAAACCATATGATTTTACAGGCTTATTTCTATCATTTAATATGTTTACCTATATTTACAACCAAATTATTGTATAACTTTTACATACAGATCAATTGCAAATTACGTAATAATATTATGCTATTATTATTTCACATCACAGTCGTTTTTTCTATAAAATATTTGAAACTAAAATTAAATGAGAGAGATATAGAAATATATCTTTATTTAAAAAACATTACACTGGGATTTTCTCCTGTCGTAAAGAAGCGTTTTACATAGACAAATATCACACGGACCAAAATAATTTGTAGGTCATACTAACATTTGCCCTGTGCAGGATGTCAATCCGCGGTCCAAGCAGCGGCTCAACGCTTAGGCACTGTGCATCGAATCTTTGATAAAATATGTCTTGCTTTTTCATGTATTTTTGTATTCTAAATATTTAATTCTAATAAATAGTTATCACACGCATCGCATATAAAGTTTCAATCTCTTCGTAATGGTTTTTGGAATGCTACATGTTTTGTGTTTTGTTGCGTACATTCACAGTTTATATTATAAAAGTCTAGTAAGAATAATTCAGTTAACATGGGAGTAGATTCCATTATTTGCACTCTGGGTGATAATTAAGATGAAGTTGGCTGTAGGTGGCAATGTACTGCAGCAGTCACTTAAAATAAGTTTGTTACTGCACACTTTCATCTTGTAAACTTTTAACTTTTAAACTATTCTTATATATTGTAACGAAGTAGTAGCCATAGATATTCCATGCCAGCAACCTCTACGGTATGCATGCTATTTGCAGTGATATCCTTTCCTTTTCATTTGGTTTCATTTACACATACCACGTCTACTTGTTTATCATACAAACATCTTTCAGGAGAATCATTAATTCCTGCGACATTTTTAGTATGGGCCACGCAATGCACTTTTCGTACCTTCATGAGACAGAACGTAACGGAGCGAGCCACGTTGCTGGTTTTGCTCCCGGAGATTCTTTGTACCACGGCCCCATTAAAGGGGTGCCGGAAATTGGGAGCCATTCACTTTTTTCGAACCATTATGCTAAAGAGGAGGCGGTAAATTCTTACGCCTCTACCACACGACCAAGAGCCGGTTGGTTAGGCGTATTACAAATATGTGATTATTCATTACTTTCTGATCACAACTGGTATTTAAAAAATTATCAGTATAAAACTACTATCATTTATGTGGTTGAATACAATATTTATTTATTACGCTATCGTACACAAACATGACAATTTATATTACATTCGAACATTCACGCAAGCGCCCTGCGCCGACTAAACGAAACAGCAGGCACACATTTTCGCCGCGCCGTAGAAAGAGAGGGGGATACTTCCTCTCCTACTTACTCTCCATCCGTCTTACGAATTTTCGATCAGGTCACGTATCCCGACGCGAGTTTATAATTTTTTACGCATTACAAAAAAAAAGTACAACGCCGCTAAAGAAGTTTTCGTCTTACGAATTTTCGATTAGGTCACGTGTCCTGACGCGAGTTTAATATTTTTTACCCATTACAAAAAAGTGTACAACGCCGCTAAAGAAGTTTCCGTCTTACGAATTTTCTATCAGGTCACGTGTCCTGACGCGAGTTTAACATTTTTTACCCATTACAAAAAAGTGTACAACGCCGCTAACGAATTTTCCGTCTTACGAATTTTCGATCAGGTCACGTGTCCTGAAGCGAGCTTAACATTTTTATCCATTACAAAAAAGTGTACAACGCCGCTAAAGAAGTTTCCGTCTTACGAATTTTCGATCAGGTCACGTGTCCTGACGCGAGTTTAACATTTTTTTACCCATTACAAAAAAGTGTACAACACCGCTAAAGATTCCGTCTTACGAATTTTCGATCAGGTCACACGTGTCCTCAAGCGAGTTTAACATTTTTTACCCATTACAAAAAAAGTGTACAACGCCGCTAAAGAAGTTTTCACTTCAAAAATTTAAACACTGGAAAGGCTTCAATTACAATTGCACAAGACTGATATGAATGGTAAATTGTTACTCTCACTAAGCCCACATAACCGCCTCAGGAATTCAAAGTACGATTTTCGTTCAAAGATAGCGACGAGGGTCTCAACTGTGGTAAAATATCTGCAACATTTTCTAAGATATCAGACAAACGGCTAAATATTGCGTTTCGATTTTCTTCCATCTGAATTCTTCTCGACTCCAATCGCAGCCTCTCCATTTCCCTTTCGTGATAATTGGCTTCCCGTTCTTCGTCCAGTTGGGTACGGCGTCGTTCGATGTCTATAAATGCACTCGTGGCACGTTCGAATGGAGTTTGTGTCCTTCGTGTGTAGGCTTTATGAAGTCTACGGCGCCGTGACGTGGACGAAGTGGACACCGGTACATTCGTACCGACCGACCACGCTGGTGATCCATCTGGAGGACGGCATCGAAATTCAGAGGTGGTGACAGGAGATGCTGCCGTTCCTGAAGCAAAATAATTATATGGGTTGACTGGCAGGGAATGGCTCATTCATGGCATTGAGTCCACCCCATGTATTTTTTTGTAATAGGGAAAGCAATAAAGAATAAATAAATAAATAGTTCAGCACACGAACATAAAAAAGTTGACATAACTAACATGAACACAACTGTTTTTTTTATAGAAATAAGGGAGTTTCTAAGAAGCACACAGTCCACCTGATGGTAAGTGAATACTGTGGTCCTTTGACACCTAAATTTATTTTCGCTTATGTATCAAATCATCCTGGAGGAATAAAGTAGGATGCCTCGTTACCAGTGAAAAGGGTCTCCAGTCTTTCCCCGGTCGAGCCGGCCCATTCGTGTTGAAGCCATTATATGCTGCAGTGTGGCTCTACCACATAAGGAATGCTTATTATAAGCAAAGGTTTTAAATAAATTAAAATTTACCGTTTATAACAACTTTTTGACTTGTGTTATTTAAGTATGAAATAATAAGAATAAGTGCAATATTTTTGACACCGTAATGTTGTAGTTTCCTGATTAACACATTGAGTGCCAAATACGCAATATTGCGTAGGTTGAAACAATGGTGGAAGCCAACTACGAAATATTACGTAGATCTTCCATAGCCCATAAATGGTAAATTATATTAATTGGCACCCTGTATTGCATATTTTTATGTTCTTTGGCCTCTTAAATAAAATAAGAGACAGAAAAATATTAACTTTATTTCTTTTATATTTCACAAATGACATGCTTTCTTAGGCAATGTTAGTGAAAAATATTAGTTTTCTAATGAGATACTTCATATTAAGTTTACTTTTTTATAACAAAAGTAGTAATTATTTATTTTAAAATAAATTTAGAAAATGTATTTCTAATGAAATGAAAAATGAATCGTAACAAAAAATTAAAATAAGCTATGCAATACGAGGATCAGTATAAAAAATTTTAAAGCAATTATTTACACATAAGGCAGGCTTTTCAGGGCAAGTAGCACACACAAACGATGATTCCTTTTGCTTCTTGTGCAAACGCGGCAAGGTTTAGCTGGAAAGGCTTTCTTAGCGGTGGGTGGTAGTTTTTATAAGTAATGAAAGTTTTGCAATGGAACTCGTGCACCTTTGTTTGTCGATAAGCGACTCGCAACATTAGCAGGCGATCGAGGTGGTTCAGAGGGCCCTTGTAACGACGACGAAGGTATAAGTTGAAGTTTGTCTTGGGCATCTTGTGGTTGTACAGATGCTGCGCATGATGACCCGAATGACACTGCTGCTGGATTCAAACTTAGTCCCTTGAGATATTTTACGAAATCTTCACGAAACTTTATCAGAAGCATTTTCGAAGTATGATCATTGACGCGAAGTAATCGATGGGCATTTTGGACTTAAACTTCAAAAATGTGTAATGCCAATTTCTTATGCCATCTAAGAGTTTTTCTAAGGCACGAGTAGTATGAAACCATCTGGTCTCCTCTGTCCACATCAGTCATCCCCAGGTTGTAGTCATCAACGATAGTAGTCATCAACGATAGTAGGCTTCAACGACAATTTCCCGTTCCTTTTCTTACTGTCACGAACTGCAATTTATGTTTGTTGGAAATCACTAAGACGTCGCGTTTGTCTTTCTACTTACAAACAGTAATGTCATTGCATACTTTTGCAGCCATTTTGCCAAGCCAAGTCTAGACGTAGCCAACGCTAAGTTGAACTTAGCGTTAGCTACGTCTAGAGGAACGTTCTTGCGGATCTTTCGAAGAGTACTACATATGTACGTTTTTCTTTGACTAAGACGCCTTGTTATATCCGGTGAGTTATAAAAATTGTCAGCGTAGATAACATGGCCTTTGTCTAAATACCCTTCCATTAGATCTAATACAACTTCGGTAATATGTTTATGGTGGCGGCTTCTCACTCTTTCCTCTATAAACACGTATCTTCATAACTATTCCTGATGATTCGCAAAGTTCATACAGTTTCACGCCATATTTATGTTTTTTTATTTTTTATATATTGACGAAAAATCAGTCTTCCTCTCCATAAATCCATCGATTCATCAATACTTAAATCAGTTTGTGGGTAATATATCTTATACGTGATATTGTTCAAACGATCTAATATTGGTTGTATTTTATGCAGTCTTGGTGTTGCTGTGTCATCACTTTCAGAAAAATGAAATATTTGAAAGCGATTTCGACTCATAAGTTTTCTAAAAATTGGTAACTTTTACAGTACAGTGGATCTATTTTCCAATAATGACTTATAGTAGGTAAACGAACGAGTCCCATACAGAGCAACATACCAATGAATTTACGCATTTCTTCCTGATTAGTATCTTTCCAATACCTAAAACGGGCATGTTTTTGTACAGACCCTTTTGTGCCTTTTGTGTAGTTGTATGTTGCTTGCACTAATGAATCCACAAAATGGTTTGAAAAAAATCACCTAGCAATGCAGGAGTAAACAGGACGAAAGTAAGTAACAGAGATGCCAAGCTACGCAATATTATGAATACGTAATATTGCGTAGACTGGCATCATATGATGAAAGGGTTGTAATTGGTGCCGGACTACGTAATATTACGAATACGTACTATTGCGTAGATTGGCATCCATGGGATACTTTTTCTAGTGGGTGCCAGCTACGTAATAATGCGTAGCACACCATTTGTATGGTGGCCACCGATTTCACTATGACGCTAACTTTTGGCACTCAATGTGTTAATGTCTCATGATGAACACAATCGAAAGTCTTGGAAAGATCTAATCAAGTGATCTAAAATTATCGTTTCAAAAATTTTACTGAGAGTTGGTATCTAATATAGAAATAGGTCTAAAATTAGCGGGGTCCAATGTACTGCTAGATTTAAATAAAGGTATTGCTTTACTGTGTTTCATTAAATCAGGAAACACACTAGATTCGATACTAGTATCAAAAATAATAGCAAGATGAGGTGCAATTAAATCTATTATGGACACTAACTGTAACGGAAATCCCCAATAAATCTGCGGTTTTTTTAAATCAAGGGTTTTGAAACATTTTACAATATCTTTTGGTAATACTTTTTCAAATCTTAATTCTTTTAAACAGGTATTAACATTCTGTTTGAGTAATGAATCGGCAACACTTGGAGAACTATTCAATGACTTGGTTGTCAAAATGGGAATATCAGTGAAATGTTTCTCAAACACCACTGCAACTTCTTGATTTGATCTAGTCATTTCATTATTAATTTTCAATTGAAAATTTGTGTTACGAATTATCTTTAACGGTTTCGCTATTAACTCCACGTCATTTTATTTTTAGCAGTCGTGATGGGCAGATAATTCCTGATAATTCAAACCCGCCGAAAAGACAACCCGCTGGGCAAGCGTGTCAACTATGGCAAAATCCCCCCTACTCAATGGAGTTTAGTAACTTATATTACTGGAAAGTTTATATATCATAATATGTGTAGATGCGAAGATTTGAAATAGCTTAGATTATGTTTTTATACTTTACCATTTGCTGTATTTGTCGGTGATACATTTTATACTTTGGTAAATACTTCTAAATGGTGATAATATCACGTGAAGCTGCCTTCACAACCGAGGCAACTTCACAAGATATATCTTGTGAAGTCTATAAATTACGTAAGGTGATTTTGGCGATTTTTCTACCCTCCCCCTTCCGCTGGCGAGATGTCCTACCCCAAATATCTCGTGAAATTTTACAAAATATGTATTTTTGTGTAAATACGTTAATCTGTGCTTGATGGCATTGGTTTTTTTTTTAAATAAAAGCAAGGGGATATAGAAAATCAGCTCAAATTCTAATTTCTCCCCCACTTCCCCGCGCGTCGTATGCTATGTACCGACATTTTTGTAATCACTAATACTGTATGTAATGTAGATAGGTCGTTAGATAGTTATTTCATTAGGTTTATCATATTTATGCCTGTTTCTTTACACTAACCCAGTGGCTTCTTATTTTTATTACGGTTATTTCCCTTTTTAATTTTACGTCGTCCTGTTGCGTAATGTGTATTCTGATTGTAAGCGACACAGCTTCCCCCTTTGAAAGCCGAAGCAAGACTGATGGAGACTGATCGGGCGACAGGAAACAAGCTTCAAGACGCCGAGAGTTTAGGTAATTTCTTTTTACAGTGAAAATAATGGTGATTTAAAAAAAAATAAAAAACATAAGCCCTGCTTTATAGTTAGTTCAGTTAGTATGCAAAGTTTTATGGTCTAATTTAAAGTATTTTATGAATACCAGCGTCATATTTCAGTTTTGAGATAACTTTGTTTTTTTTTCTATCGAGAAAATTTTACGGAATCGTGTTTTCATCTAACATAGTACTTAAAATTAATCCTCAACTTAACCATATATTTATTTCAAAATTAATGCTGCAATATTTTCGGCATAACGGAGGATCTTACTAAGCCATTTGAGGTAGGATTTTTATTATTTCCCTTAATAATTTTTATATAATGATATCTAATATGACCAAAGTCTGACTTATCTATCGTTTTAGGGCAATCCTGTAATGACAGTGGTTATAATGAATAATTTGTAGAGTTCGCAAAACCGCGGTAAATATTATTAATTTAACTCAATTTTCTCTCTACTCATTTTGTAAAATTTACACTGTTTATTGCGGAAATAAAATTGCGTGAGATTCGACTCGAACCTCTTCCTATTAAACCCCCACATAATAAAAGGACGCCCCCTTATCAGTATTAAAAGCTACTGACCAAGTAAATGAGCTTTGTTTACATAAGGAAGATTTCAGCTACAGTAGGGCAACGCCACCGAGCGTATGTGACCTGTTCCGAAGTCTAACAAACGATCAATGAAATTTAAATAGCTCAACATGAAAATAAAGGCTAGATATACCTTCATCAGAACGTGAAGCAACGAAACCCGAAAGTTTTTCTTCTGTGACCAAATTCTGAGAATGAAATTCAGTCTGAACAGAATTTTTTTGTGGCAGTGGAGAGATTCTTTCAGTTGGTTGGTCCTGAAAAATTTGTTAAATATAAATCCAAATTCTATAATAAAAAAGCATAGTATCATAAGCAAATCAACAAGCAATAAAAAACTAACATCAAACCCCCCCTCCTTTGTTCCTAGTCGACTGACAACTGAAGATAGCCCCATTATGCGCAACACCCTCTGTTCCAAGGCAGTGAGCGTTTGTCTGCTGTTGAGACCACCATTATCCCCACGGCGCATTACCAATGCCTTTTTCTTTGTTTTAGCTTTCCAATCTGCCCACACCTGAACATATTTATCTTTTAACTTTTCTCATGCATTTTGCCTTTATCAAATATGTGATAAGTCATTATTTTATAGTCTGTAAATTATGCGTATTTATCCTTTTCAAATTAGCTTTGCTGCTGAACATAGGCCTATCCATCATTATTTATAATTGAGTATTATCTCACAGGCGGGATATTTGCCATAGTTGCCACAGTTTTTTTAATTGTTTTGAGGTGTAGTGAACATTTTTTGAATTATTATTAACATTTAAGCAACAGTAGTCTCATGAATAAGGAACACGACTTTCCAAGTTTACCGACTGCTAATTCGGAAAGTCGTAGGTTCGAATCCGTCATTCTATTACTTGTCGTGAGCCAATCCTAACACAAGCAATTTAATCTACAAATACTACTTAGTATACTTAATTAGTCAATGTCAAGCGATACTAGTTTTATTTTACAAAAAACTGACAGTAAAATCCTCTAACAAAGGCATAAAAATCCAGCAAAATACAATGTAAGAAATATTAAAGTAATTACTATTTAGCTTTTATGATGGACGTGTGATGGCGGCATAAGGGAATCTATCACCATTTCGTCATCATCACATCCTATAAAAATTCCACTGTTAAAAATAGGCCTACTCCATACAGAAACAGAAACTTTTTTATTCAACGTAGATTATAAACAATACTTATTGAAAGTCACTTTTTTAATTTACCACTGGTTCGCAAAAAAACATATATTCTTTAAACATAAATGTCACCAATAATACAAGGTTCCAATACCTACACAATCTTACTGAATGAATACATTTAAAAAAAACGAGCGAGCCTCACAGCAGTCGCATATGATGTGTAACATCTGACATCTCACCTTGGTAGCTTAGTTACATATCTATTATACACATTATACATATATATATACATTATATCTTGAAAAAAGCTATTTTTACTAATCTATACAAATAAATTTCAAGTGTTTGATTGTAATGTTAAAAAGTTAAAATAACGGTGTTAAACTAAATGCGTGTAAAAATATACAGGGTGTTAGTGTAAACACCGTTGTCCTTAAATAAGTGAAACCAAACCACTGGTTTCAAGGACAACGGTGTTTACACTAACAGCATGTATACAATCATCATCATCATTAACAAAGTATATACAATATTTATACCAAAAAAATAAATGCCTGTCTGTCTGTCTGCTGTCTGTCTGTTTGTTCTGGCTAATCTTTGAAACGGCTGGTCCGATTTCGACGGGACTCACACCGGCAGATAGCGGATGTTATAAGGAGTAACTTAGGTTACTTTTACTTTAGAAGAAGAATTAGGCTTCCGCGCAAAATAATAAAATTAAAACGAATGAAATCCAATATTAATAAGCTAGTCAAAATTAAAATTATCAATTGAGCAGCGATGGAAATTAACCTCAAAATTTTGAAAAAGATAAATACTGAAATATTTATTCGAATAATTATTCATAATTACTCATTATTACTCACTTGCACATTTTATCAATGATCTGCACTTTTTTCAGACACTTATTATAAACAGGAAATACATTTAAGGCCAATGCTCATTTGCCGTTCACAGTATTCATTCTCGGTCCGATCTTGGTCTGATTTATTATAATATTGGAATGAGATTCGAGCGAAACTTGACAGTTGCGGATAGTGTGAATGCTTACACATATTTTTTACTTGATAATATTTTATCAGACCAAGACCGGACCGAGAACGAACTGTGTATTTGGTGACTGCCTTCGTGCCCTCACTGACAGCGTGCTTGGCGAGTTCACCAGGCAACAGCAGTCTCACAGAGGTCTGCACTTCCCGTGAAGTTATAGTCGAACGCTTGTTAGGCCCTTATTAGTATGGTTTAACATATATTAATTACTTTATATAACAGCACACTTTACTACTATCGCGCAAGCTCATTAGTAAAATCAAATAGCAGACGCTTCCCCGGCTTCCTGCTACATACTTCCGTCCCTTCCCAAGAAATCACTCCCACAGATTGCAGGAGAACGAGAGGAAAGATGTTACACACCAAAAAAAAGAAGGAGGAAGGAGGAGGAGGAGGAGGACCAAAAAAAGAAGGAAGAAAAAATAGAATGAGGATTTTACTTTTTTCCATTTTTCTATTGGCTTAGTTACTCCTCCATCAATGGAGTTGAGTAACTCTCCCAGTTTCTGCCACAGACGGTCGGCCTTTATTCGGCCTTGAAGCCCTTGCTGGGGCCTCGTTATATCGCCATGACTAGAAAATACATTAAGCTAATTTACAAAACTTATTTATTAAACAGTTTTTAATGTGGTAGAGCCACGCTGCAGCTATATTATAGTTGCAGCACGAATGAGTCGGCTCGAACAGGGAAGGATCACGCTCTCATAGTATACCAGCATCAAATACCTGCTCAATGCTGCTGTGCTTCATATGATAAGTGTATAGAATTGGAGACAGTTTTTACTGGAAACGAGGCATTTCATCTTAGTTCTCAGCGATGACAGCGCATTTGCATTTTGATTCTTAATCGAGGATAAACGTAGATGTGTATGGACCACAGCATCCACTTACCATCAGATGGACTGTGTGCTCGTTTGTCACCTTTATTCTATAAAAAAAAGGCCAAACACCAGTAAATTATACATACAAAATTTCCTCAGTATGAGAATTTAATAAAATTCACGTAACAAAAGTAGAATTTCAGTACTTTTTTTTAAAATAAATGGAGTGATGAATGAACTTACAGCCCACCTGATGGTAAATGGCTATTGCAGTCCTGAGACACAAGCAGCCAACAAGCCTAAGCTAAAAAGGCTACAGATGTGGTGCAGATACTACTATTTGGCAAAATAAATATTATTTAACATACCATTCCATGAATTCACACAAAGCCGCAAACTGCTCCGGGCTAGCTCGAGATCTGGGCTCAGCTTCCACCCTAAAATTTTATCACTTTATTTTTCTATAAGATTTGAGGGTAAACAAACATTGTTTAAAATTATAATCCGTAATATTATTTTATAAATTCATGTCAACTTGCTAATGGATATGATTTTAATTTCCATTTTAATTCAAAAACATTATTTTTTAAAAATATCATTCATAGCCTCCTTTCACATGTTACACTCTATTTTTTCCAGAAGGTAAAAAGGTCGTCCAGTATATTCTGAGCCATAATAAAGGTAAAACCTAGTATTTTTTTATATATGTTTTCTAATACCAACATTCCAAAAACTATTAGATAGTTCACTTTTATCAATAACTCTGAGTAATCCCATAAACGAACACTAGTCAATATCAGCATAGTGCAGTGATGATTCTTTATTTATGAAGACATTTTATAACAAGAAGGAACTTAAGGTACTTGTGCTTGGGATCCTATAATTAATATAATTAAATCCAAACCCGAGCAACCACTGCATGACTTCGATATACAATAAACACATTCTGTATACAATATGTAACATAATTAACGCACACCCTCAGACACCCCAATTAGTATATTATGTTATAATCGTAATACATACACAGAATTTTTATTGAAACATTTTTATGCACTGATTATTTATCAAATTAGTTATACTAATTCCGGAAGAATGTTGTGGTCACAGTACAAATCCACGAACGCAAAGACTTTAACATGCTTGAAATAAAGTTCATTTTTCTTTATTTTTATTGAATAACAGAATTAGTAATAATACAAATAAAACTGCACTCTTAAAAGTCTTATTGCCTTAAGTTACAGTACATTTCAGTTTGTTTTGACTGTACAGATTTAGTGTGACTGTAATTTACGTAGTTTTGTTTTTGGAAAAAAAAACTATATTAAAAATGATAGGAATGGATTCAGTAAACAATTCTGAACAAACTACTTTCTCAAAGTGCGTTAATTATGTTACGTGTTGTATATCATAACAAAAAGTAGTACTAAAAATCTGAAGTTCTGAAAATGTGAAATATCTAAGTATATAATATTAAATAGTATGTAAATAGTCAAAGTCTCAGTTAAATGATTACATTACTAACTTATCTCCTGCATAATAAATATCCTCATGATCATTTTTTGAACCATTCCTTTCCAGATTTCTTGCATTATCCTCCTTTTCAAATGTATCTGTCTTCCTTGGGATTTCATTTGTGCACAGAGATTTAGATTTGTATTCGGAATCTACCTCTGGTTCTTCTTTGATGTAAATTTCTATAGAATGTAGTTGATCATCCTTTAATTGCTGTGAAAAAGCATAGATTATTTCACTTCTTGTTTTACATGTCTGTCCTATTTTCATGTAACATTTTTTTTGTTGAGATTTGTAATGTTTAAGAAGAGCTTTGGATATTCGTATAGATCCAATAGTTAAAGCAAATGTTATGGAGTTTGGTGCATGTCCAAAAAGAATGCAAAGGTGATAACCCGTACAATTTATACTAAACTTACCCCTTTTTTATTAAGTTACTTTCTTGTTTGGCTATTGTTCCAGGTGGAATTTAGTAATTGATTTTAAACTAAATTCCAGATGAGCTGGAAACTTGAAAATTTGAATATAGCTCAAATTCGGATGACAGTGCAAGAATATGAAAAAAAGGTGGTAATAATTCCAATTGTTACATTTATGTTTTTGGTGGGATTTGATTTGGATCATAAAATGTGAATATCTATTTAGTCCACCTGATAGTAAGTGGATCCATGGACATTTGCAGCCCAACTTAAAAATCTACCCTGACAAATTGACTTTTTGTCCAGGAGTTTGTTGTAGGACTCTTACCACCAAGTAATGCTTTCAATTATTATAATTGTGATATATTTAATGCAACATATGTAATCCGTTTGCTAAGCTGCTCCTTGTTATATGAGAGACCCATGTTCAGGAGTAGACTGTTATGACCTAATAGAAATTAAGATACATTAATTTGTATTAAATTAATTTATCATGCAAGGTAACCAATGCACAATAATAAAAGGAAGTTGTTAAAAATGGTAAGGTTGACTTAAGTAACATAATAATAAACTAATTTTTATTTATATATATCATATTTTGCAAATATGGGTAAAATAGAATGTGGTGACATTATGTATAAAAAACAGGTGACACTATATTTTACCAGAAGGTATGCAAAAGTAGCTATATTAATATTAAATATATTAACTATTTTTAATTCATAACAATAATTACATATCAGGTTAAATAAATAAGTAATTTAAAACATTACAGCTGGCAGGTTGACTATAGACATGATAGTACTAGAACATGACCTGATTTTGATAATATTTTTAGTCTAGCAGGCTTGTTAGGGTTAAGCTTGAACCTATTACACTGTTTTTAGATATCGGAAATGCGTTTTGAATTAATTACGATGAAAACAAATTTCACTAAAAATTGTGTAATAACAAAATGCAAAAATGTCAATTTGTTCTCGTATTATGAAGTAGATGTCTGGTACTTGATTTTTAATTTTGTTTTCAATTTATGAGGATTGTCAGGGTTAAGCTTGAACCATTTACACTGTTTTTGGATTTCAGAAATGCATTTTGAATTTATTACGATAAAAATAAATTTCACTAAAAATTGCAATAACCAAACACAAATATGTCAATTTTTTTTAACACAGATAAACTCATAAAAAAATTAATCACTCAGGCCCAGACAATCCATTTGTGGCTGGAGATGGGACTTATATAAAACAAATTGAGTCGCAGTAGAGAGCAGTCAATGGGTTTTTCAGAAAACAAAATTATAACTATTCACATTACATTATATCATTTACCACTATCATAGCAAAGTTTAGGGCAACCAGACTTTATAGATAAGATTGGTCGAATCAGTTCTAAAACCGAATTAGCACAGGCGCTACACTCCACATAGTCTTGTCTGCCCTACCCCTAATGTTTTTGTAAAGCCTTAGGCACGGAGAGAGAGCAGACCCCGCCCGCTGTAGCAAATCGCAGGCACCTACGGAGGCGAGCATGGGTGCCTGCGATTTGCTACACAAGGGCGAAGGGACTGCCCTTCCCACAGTGCCAAAGCCGTTGCAGAAGTAACTTTGCGTCCATATTCCTGTATAAAAAAGTGAGGTTATGATTTTACAAAAAAAAATTATTACTCATAAACTATACATTTCTGCAACGGGGGAAGGGTAGGGGGTGCTTCCCACGACCCCCCTACCCCCCCTCCCCTTCCCAAAACCGTACGCGAGTACCGGACGTCTATAGTTTAACCCAGCTAACGAACATGTCTTAAGGTGCAAGTGATGTCAGTGTATGTCAATAGGAATATTACTTGATAATATCCTCTTAACTAGTATTCTCTACAACTGTTGTTCAAATACTACATTGCCATCTGTGGTGACCCCGACGTGATCTGAACACGCAACCAAGAACCTTCGGAAACTTCAAGCTTCATCATCATCATAGAATACCCCACCCATTCGCTCCCGAGCAGATATCATCTGCAGTCTTCATATCATGCAAGCCATCTAGCTTCACAAGGTTCATCACAGCACTGGAATAATAATGCTTCCTGTTCCTTCAAGCTACTCTCTGCGCTATACAGTGTTCGGCTCGGCTCTGAGCCTCACTGCTCGCCTCTGCTTCATGGCACTCTCGCAGATTACTTGCTTTCTTCTCGACTCACCGCAGACAACAAGGCAATCTCCTGGCACTTGCACATTCCGAATCATAAAAAGTATATATAGAACATCTCCGAACTATCACACAGAGTGTGGGCCGCTCCCCAGGCAGAACACCTTGCTCGGCGGGAGATCTCCCCTTTTCCTTCCACGGCCACAGTGGTGGCGTCCGAACAGGGACTACACCATCATTGGAACCTCCTTATTCAGGCCCATATAAAGTCCTGGAAAGGGGTCTTAAGACCTTCAAATTGATGATCAAAGGTATGGAAAGTACGGTTACTATAGACTGACTCAAACCTGCTTACCTTTACAGCAGTGGATCATCTGTTTATCCAGAGGAAATAACACCTACAGAAAAGGAAACCCAAGCCCCCACAACTGGTCAAAGTAAGAATACTCTAAAAAAAACACTAAGCGGAAGAGTAGTGCGATTTCCAGACTACTATCGCCCGTGAAACGGTCTCAGCAGGGGAGTGATGTGGCATAGGCGGTGTGTATTAAATAAATTTTAATGTTAATATAGTATAGTAAAGTAAATTAATTTCATCTATAAGATCACATATATAAAATCAAAATTCTAAATTATAATAAATATTTGTTTTGTATAAATTCAACAGCTAAATGTAAAATTTAATTATTAATCATTTAAGAAATCCTACTTACTAACTTTTCCATATGAATCGTCCAATTTATTGTCAACAATATTTTTTGTATCGCAGTACTTGTGCCTGCTTTACCGGTCAAGTTAGTTAGCAATTATATGCATTCGCTGCGGGACCTCGTGCCACGCTCGCCCTTTTTACTCCGCGAAATATAGTAATTAAAAATAATAATAGTATATAATATAATAGTAATAGTAAGTAATATTGAATTGTAAGGGTTGTGTAAGTAAATAAATAAACTTGTGTACAGGAATAAACTATTAGAGTGTCAGTTTTATTGGAGTCAGGCTAACATACCTACCTAACTAACCTAGTCAGGCTAATAATACCTGTAAGTACAACAACACCCCGTTATACCATCCATGTCAGATAATATATATATATGTATATCCAAAGTTATACTTTTTGAAGAAATAGATCCCCCCACACCAGGAATAGCTTCTCAAAATTGATGAATATGACAACATTCAATAGTCCATATCAAAAAGTAGATTTCTAAAGACTGTCAAAGAAAACATGTAAGTAAAATTTTTACAAGTTCTACCATATGAGAGGATCATAATCAACCGTTCATTGTGGTGGAATCAGTAGATAGGATAGATACATAGATAGGACTACAATTACATATAGAACAGGCTATGCATGACTCACCTTAGCAGGTATAGAGACTACCCGCAATGAGGAAGATCTCTCCATAGTCCGTATCGCTGTCTCAGTCTCCATGGAGTCACTGGTTCCAATACATTCTCCATAGTCGAATCATGATGTTTTCATAAACACTAATAAATTTAAAAAATAATCAATGACAACCATAATAGCTCGGTTTGATTTCCCAAATGGTTTGCCATGAAATACGACAATATCAAAATAATAAATATTTGATACAAGCTTTTGGATATTAATTTAAGCCCTCACTCATAAGAACAAGGAACATACTACTCTCTATACCATAGATTACTGCCTATATACTAGAGACTCTATACTGACTATATACTAGAGCATAGATTACTGCCTATATACTAGAGATAGATGAGCAACTCAAGTTTTATTTACGTTAAGTTCCGTGCCCAACCGTCAGGTGGCGTAAAATTAAGAGTGCTTTGGGCCCGCCCTTTATTTGCACTTTACAATTTTATATGTTCAGAACCATTAATTACATTGCACAAGTGCTGCAATGTAATTAATGGTTCTTTATATTTCTTGTGCTAATTGCTAGTTCCTATTAATAAAATAAAAACCGGATATATTTAAAATGTTTATTGTTTAAAAATTTCTTGCCTAAATTAATAACATTAGATGTGTTAAATTTAACAATATTTGCACAATATCAATTGATTTCTTTAAACACATTCTTTTTAACTGGTTAGTTAAGTTAGGAAATATATTATGTTACAGAGAATACAATACAATAGAATTATTATTATTAAATATAGATTATTACACAATACTTATTGAAAGTCATGTCGTCGTCGTCGTCGTCATGTTTTATTTACTACATATACCTCTGTCCTGGGAAGAACCAACAAGAAACCCAGCGGGACGTTTTTTAAAACATATTTCACTTTACAATCATTTTGTTTATACATTTTTTAAATAAATTTTAATAGTACAGGCATGGTGGCGATCACCTCAATCACAGGGGTTATTATTGATGTATTTTTTGATATTATAATAACACTTTTTGTACATTTTTCCTTAAATAAAACATTTCAACTTATTTATTGACAAATTTTGTACATTTTCTGAAATTTTGTTTTAAAAGTGTATATGTTGCCCCATAAAAGCACTACTGACTCAGTGGAGTCTAGTAACTGGTGTTACAAGCTTATGTTTGTTCTTAGATTTTAAAGTATAAACATCTTTATTCTTATGAAAGCTTTTTATGTTTTATGTACATACATTAGTATATATATATATATATATATATATATATATATATATATATATATAATTTAGTTTCAGTTTATACAAAGGTACTCTGTGTACTAGAGATAGATGAGCAACTCAAATTTTATTTACGTTAAGTTCCGTGTCCATCCGTCAGGTAGCGTAAAATTAAGAGTGCTTTGGGCCCGCCCTTTATTTGCACTTTACAATTTTATATTTTCAGAACCATTAATTACATTGCACAAGTGCTGCAATGTAATTAATGGTTCTTTATATTTCTTGTGCTAATTGCTAGTTCCTATTAATAAAATAAAAACCGGATATATTTAAAATGTTTATTGTTTAAAAATTTCTTGCCTAAATTAATAACATTAGATGTGTTAAATTTAACAATATTTGCACAATATCAATTGATTTCTTTAAACACATTCTTTTTAACTGGTTAGTTAAGTTAGGAAATATATTATGTTACAGAGAATACAATACAATAGAATTATTATTATTAAATATAGATTATTACACAATACTTATTGAAAGTCATGTCGTCGTCGTCGTCGTCATGTTTTATTTACTACATATACCTCTGTCCTGGGAAGAACCAACAAGAAACCCAGCGGGACGTTTTTTAAAACATATTTCACTTTACAATCATTTTGTTTATACATTTTTTTAAATAAATTTTAATAGTACAGGCATGGTGGCGATCACCTCAATCACAGGGGTTATTATTGATGTATTTTTTGATATTATAATAACACTTTTTGTACATTTTTCCTTAAATAAAACATTTCAACTTATTTATTGACAAATTTTGTACATTTTCTGAAATTTTGTTTTAAAAGTGTATATGTTGCCCCATAAAAGCACTACTGACTCAGTGGAGTCTAGTAACTGGTGTTACAAGCTTATGTTTGTTCTTAGATTTTAAAGTATAAACATCTTTATTCTTATGAAAGCTTTTTATGTTTTATGTAAATACATTAGTATATATATATATATATATATATATATATATATATATATATATATATATATATATATATATAATTTAGTTTCAGTTTATACAAAGGTACTCTGTGTACTAGAGATAGATGAGCAACTCAAATTTTATTTACGTTAAGTTCCGTGTCCATCCGTCAGGTAGCGTAAAATTAAGAGTGCTTTGGGCCCGCCCTTTATTTGCACTTTACAATTTTATATTTTCAGAACCATTAATTACATTGCACAAGTGCTGCAATGTAATTAATGGTTCTTTATATTTCTTGTGCTAATTGCTAGTTCCTATTAATAAAATAAAAACCGGATATATTTAAAATGTTTATTGTTTAAAAATTCTTCGCCTAAATTATTAACAGTAGATGTGTTAAATTTAACAATATTTGCACAATATCAATTGACTTCTTTAAACACATTCTTTTTAACTGGTTAGTTAAGTTAGGAAATATATTATGTTACAGATAATATAATACAATAGAATTATTATTATTAAATATAGATTATTACATAATACTTATTGAAAGTCATGTTTTATTTACTACAGATACCTCTGTCCTGGGAAGAACCAACAAGAAATCCAGCGGGACGTTTTTAAAACATATTTCACTTTACAATCATTTTGTTTATACATTTTTTAAATAAATTTTAATAGTACAAGCATGGTGGCGATCACCTCAATCCCAGGGGTTATTATGGATGTATTTTTTGTACATTTTTCCTTAAATAAAACATTTCAACTTATTTATTAACAAATTTTGTACATTTTCTGAAATTTTGTTTTAAAAGCGTATATGTTGCCCCATAAAAGCACTACTGACTCAGTGGAGTCTAGTAACTGGTGTTACAAGCTTATGTTTGTTCTTAGTTTTTAAAGTATAAACATCTTTATTCTTATGAAAGCTATTTATGTTTTTATGTACATACATTAATATATATATATATATATATATATATATATATATATATATATATATATATATATATATACGAAAGTCATGTTTTATTTACTACAGATACCTCTGTCCTGGGAAGAACCAACAAGAAATCCAGCGGGACGTTTTTAAAACATATTTCACTTTACAATCATTTTGTTTATACATTTTTTAAATAAATTTTAATAGTACAAGCATGGTGGCGATCACCTCAATCCCAGGGGTATTATTGATGTATTTTTTGTACATTTTTCCTTAAATAAAACATTTCAACTTATTTATTGACAAATTTTGTACATTTTCTGAAATTTTGTTTTAAAAGCGTATATGTTGCCCCATAAAAGCACTACTGACTCAGTGGAGTCTAGTAACTGGTGTTACAAGCTTATGTTTGTTCTTAGTTTTTAAAGTATAAACATCTTTATTCTTATGAAAGCTATTTATGTTTTTATGTACATACATTAATATATATATATATATATATATATATATATATATATATATATATATATATATATATATATATATATATATATAATGTATGTACAATAATACGTTAACGTTAGTTTCTCTATTTTTTTTTGCGCCCGAAGCAATTAAAGGGCTACCCTATACGTAGGGAGGCGGAAAATGCATTACGCATACCACGATAGCCGGTCTATCGTGGTTATGAGGGGCTCACTGTCCTACCGGGGACCCTAAGTGATACCCTCTAAAAACCGCCTTTGGGGACAGGCAACCGGCTGATTAAGCTCTATTGTGCCTTATCATGAGCGACCCTCTTTTGGGAAAAGAGGGCGCAGGCGGCTAAGTGCCGCTGAGGGAGTGCCTACGAAGGCAAATTAATGTTAGATGTTACAATAATTTTATTTAATTAGAGTTGGCCTGAGCTGCCAGGAGACAGTTCAGGTCGTTTGAAAGTTTATTAGGCGGGTCCGAGAGAGAGTTTCTCGGCCTGCGGACACGATAGCGAGAGAGGGGTGGGGCTGCATAAGAAGCTGCCTCACGAATTAAATGGTTTGGGTGCGACTCTGAGGCTTTGAAGAAGTTCTCAGAGAGTTTTTTAAGGAATTGTTGAATTGTTGGGAGCTCTAAGTCCCGATGAAGGTCGGCATTGCGGACGTACCACGGTGCGTTCGCAGCTCGACGACAGAAGAGGTTCTGAACTATTTGGAGTTCATTTAAAATGTTAGGGTTTGCGTGGGCAAAGACGGGGCCCGCGTAGGACATGACTGGTCGAAGTTTCTCTATCTAGTCTGTGCTTATAAGTAGCTTGCTACATATTTATTTATCTATGCTTATAAGTGACAATCAACAATGAATTTGATGGAGGTGGATGGTATGGATAGGATGGAGGCTTTGAGTATTAAACCAAAGGAGACGGCATCGCAAGGCATACCCCTCTGTAAAAGGTACGAGAGTCCGACTCATACTCGTTATATAAAACTAGTTGCTCCGCGTTGTGCGTTATTCCGAAGTGATCATGCCAGTAAATCGAGCTCCGACAAAATGCCGAATTGCAGTGTATTTACATGAAAAAAACAATCAAAAACGTCAAGTATACAAAAGGACAATGTGACTTTCATCTGTGAGTATTTTTAACATAATATTAAAGTAATTTTATCATTTAAAACTCGTACTTTGTGAATATTTTCGTCCAATACCAAGTGTAGCTATCATAGTTCAAAAAGTGAAAAATAATCTATTTTCAAATAAATATAATTTACTACACAAGTTAAATATATTAACGAAAATATATTTCCTAATAAATAAATCAGTTTTGTGATGAATAATAATCACTACATATAGATGTGTAGTGGATTTTGTTAAATGATTTATGTATTCAGCACAATTTCAACACGATACTGAATATTATATAATTTAATATAATTGATAACTTGTATTTAT